GGGCCCGTTACCGGCCGCGGGGCCGAGCCGAACGCCCGCGCCCGGGCCCCGCGCTGCCGCTGCCGGTGCCGGTGCCGCTGCCGGTGCCGGTGCCGCTCCGCTCACCGTTTGATCCGCAGCAGGCAGGCCGGGCTGGGCCGCTCGCTGTCCCAGTCGCCGCTGACCGTGGGGTCCCAGAAGGCGGAGTGCGTGAGGAGCGCGGCCCCCGCGGCCGCCGCCGCCATCGGGGCGCCGCCGCTACCGGGGGCCACGCCGGTGCCGGGCGCCGCGGCCGCGCCGAAGCCCGCGGCCGCCCAGAGCTCGGCGGGGATGAACACGCCGGGGGTGCCCGCGGAGCCGGCGGCGCTCGGGGAGGCGCCGCCGCCGCCGCCCGCCGCCAGCACCGCGGCCGGGGCCGGGGCCGCGTCCTCGGCCGCCGGGCTCTCCGCCATTGCGGCCTCGGCCCGCGCCGCTTCCGGGACTCCGCACCACCGAGGCGCGCGGCCAGAGCGGCCCCGCGCCGCCCACGCTCCCCGCCCCCGGCACCACCGAGCGGCGGCGGGAGCGGCTCCTCCGCAGCGGGGACGGGCGGGGAGACGCGGACACAGCGCCCCCTGGCGGGCGGGAGGGCCGGCGGGCGGGAGAGAGGGGGAAACGGGGAATCGGGGTTTGGGGCAATTTGGGGAATTTGGGAATTCGGGGAATTTATCGTTTTGGGGGAACGGCGAGGTTATGAGAGCACAAAGGGTGGGAAGATCCTCCGGGATCGGCATTGGCCGGGGAACGGGCACGGCCCCGGGGCTGCCGGAGCTCCAGGAGCGGTTGGACAAGGCTCAGAGTTACAGCAGGGTGGGAATGGGGAGGGTCCGGCAGGGCCGGGAGCTGGACCCGATCATCCCGCTGGATCCGTTCCCATTTGGGATCATCCCGCTGGATCCTTTTCCATTTGGGATCACCCCGCTGGATCCGTTCCCATTTGGGATCACCCCGCTGGATCCTTTTCCATTTGGGATCACCCCGCTGGATCCGCTCCCATTTGGGATCATCCCGCTGGATCCGCTCCCATTTGGGATCACCCCGCTGGATCCTTTTCCATTTGGGATCATCCCGCCGGATCCGTTCCCATTTGGGATCACCCCGCTGGATCCTTTTCCATTTGGGATCACCCCGCTGGATCCTTTTCCATTTGGGATCATCCCGCTGGATCTGCTCCCATTTGGGATCATCCCGCTGGATCCGTTCCCATTTGGGATCACCCCGCTGGATCTGTTCCCATTTGGGATCACCCCGCTGGATCCGTTCCCATTTGGGATCACCCCGCTGGATCTGTTTCCATTTGGGATCACTCCGCTGGATCCGCTCCCATTTGGGATCATCCCGCTGGATCCGCTCCCATTTGGGATCACCCCGCTGGATCCGCTCCCATTTGGGATATTCCCTGGGACGGGACGATCCCGCTGGATCCTTTCTTCTCGCTGGTTCCAGGATCCAAGTGTCACCTCCCCTCCGGCTGTGCCTGGGCAGCTGTGCCAGGGCTGCATCCCATCCTGGGGACACCGGGAATTCTGTATCCCGGGAATTGTGTATCCCATTCCCAGGAATTGTCTATCCCGGGAATTGTGCATCGCAGGAATTGTGTATCCCGGGAATTGTCTATCCCGGGAATTCTGTATCCCAGGAATTGTGTACCCCAGGAATTCTGTATCCCAGGAATTGTGTATTCCGGGAATTGTGCATCACAGGAATTGTGTATCCCGGGAATTGTGTATCCCCGGAATTGTGCATCACAGGAATTGTGTATCCCATTCCCGGGAATTGTGTATCCCGGGAATTGTGTTTCCCGGGAATTGTGCATCCCGGGAGTTGTGTTTCCTGTTCCCGGGAATTGTGTATCCCCAGAATTGTCTATCCCGGGAATTGTGCATCGCAGGAATTGTGTATCCCAGGAATTGTCTATCCCGGGAATTGTGCATCGCAGGAATTGTGTATCCCATTCCCAGGAATTCTGTATCCCGGGAATTGTCTATCCCGGGAATTGTCTATCCCGGGAATTGTGCACCCCGGCAGTTCTGTTTCCCGTTGTTCCCAGAGGATTACTGTAACCCAGCCCAGTAACAGCGTTGTTGTTGTTGCTGTTGTTGTTGTTGTTGTTGTTGTTGTTGCTGTTGTTGTTGTTGCTGTTGCTGTTGTTGTGGCTGTTGTTGCTGTTGTTGTTGCTGTTGTTGTTGTTGCTGTTGTTGTTGCTGTTGTTGTTGTTGTTGTTGCCGTTGCTGTTGCTGTTGTTGCTGTTGCTGCTCTGGAGCCGTTCCCACAGGGCTGTCCCTGTGCGGGGTCACGCACAACCCAACCCAGGGCATTGTCCCATTGTCCCTCTCCCAGAGCCCCCCGTGTCCACAGCCAAACCTTCCCCCAGACCTCGGGGACTTCTGAGCCGAGCTCTCCTCAAGCCCTTCAGGAATTCCATCATCCATCCCCGTGTCCCACCCCCAGGAATGTCCCCAGGAACGTCCCCACACAGAGCCACCATCCCCCGTGTCCCATCCCCAGGAATGTCCCCACACAGAGCCACCATCCCCCGTGTCCCATTCCCAGGAATGTCCCCAGGAACGTCCCCACACAGAGCCACCATTCCCCGTGTCCCATTCCCAGGAATGTCCCCAGGAATGTCCCCACACAGAGCCACCATTCCCCCTGTCCCATCCCCAGGAATGTCCCCACACAGAGCCACCATTCCCCGTGTCCCATCCCCAGGAACGTCCCCACACAGAGCCACCATTCCCCGTGTCCCATCCCCAGGAATGTCCCCAGGAATGTCCCCACACAGAGCCACCATTCCCCGTGTCCCACCCCCAGGAATGTCCCCACACAGAGCCACCATTCCCCGTGTCCCATCCCCAGCAATGTCCCCACACAGAGCCACCATTCCCCGTGTCCCACCCCCAGGAATGTCCCCAGGAATGTCCCCATACAGAGCCACCATTCCCCGTGTCCCATTCCCAGGAATGTCCCCACACAGAGCCACCATTCCCCGTGTCCCATTCCCAGGAACGTCCCCACACAGAGCCACCATTCCCTGTGTCCCATTCCCAGGAATGTCCCCACACAGAGCCACCATTCCCTGTGTCCCATTCCCAGGAATGTCCCCACACAGAGCCACCATTCCCCGTGTCCCATTCCCAGGAATGTGTCCCCATTCCCAGCAAGGTCGCAGCCGCTGCCCCAGGCTCTGGGCAAAGCAGCGGCTGCTGCGTTAATTAATTTAATTACTCCAAGCTGGTAACGAGCCAAGCTCCCTCCGGGCTCCCTTTCCTTCGAGGCGCGGCTGCCTCTCCCAAAATCCCAGAGGGATTGGGGTGGGATTGGGGTGGGAATCCAGCTCAAACTCTCCCAGAATCCCAAAGGGATTGGGGTGGGAATTCAGCTCAGCCTCTCCCAAAATCCCAAAGGAATTGGGGTGGGAATCCAACTCAACATCTCCTAAAATCCCAAAGGGATTGGGGTGGGATTGGGGTGGAAATTCCACTCAACCTCTCCCAAAATCCAAAAAGGGAATTGGGGTGGGAATCCAGCTCAAACTCTCCCAAAATCCCAAAGGGAATTGGGGTGGGAATCCAGCTCAAACTCTCCCAAAATCCCAAAGGGAATTGGGGTGGGAATCCAGCTCAAACTCTCCCAAAATCCCAAAGGGAATTGGGGTGGGAATCCAGCTCAAGCTCTCCCAAAATCCCAGAGGGATTGGGGTGGGATTGGGGTGGGAATCTCACTCAGCCTCTTCCAAAATCCCAAAGGAATTTGGATGGGATTTGGGTGGGAATTCAGCTCAACCTCTCCCAAAATCCCAGAGGGATTGGGGTGGAATTTGGGTGGGAATTCAGCTCAGCCTCTCCCAAAATCCCAAAGGGATTTGGGTGGGATTTGGGTGGGAATCTAACTCAAACTCTCCCAAAATCCCAAAGGGATTGGGGTGGGAATTCAGATCAGCCTCTCTCAGAATCCCAAAGGGATTGGGGTGGGAATACAACTCAAACTCTCCCAGAATCCCAAAGGGATTTAGGTGGGAATTCAGCTCAACCTCTTCCAAAATCCCAAAGGGATTGGGGTGGGAATACAGCTCAAACTCTCCCAGAATCCCAAAGGTTTTTGGATGGGATTTGGGTGGAAATCCAACTCAAGCTCTCCCAAAATCCCAAAGGGAATTGGGGTGGGATTTGGGAATTTCTCCTCCCCAATCTGCTCCAGGATTTCAAAGGGACGGGGCAGGGCTGAAACCCCTCAGCTCCGGGGGATTTGTGGGAATTCTGGAGAGCTCCAGAGCTGAGAATTCCCGGAATTCCTGGGAATTTGGGTGGGGAGGGACCTGGAATCCCACCCAGGGACAGACCTGGCCCGGGACACCCCAGGAATTCCCAGGAATTCTCCCCAATATCCTCCCCAACCCCTCCTCACGGAGCTTGGTTCGCCCAGGGCCCAGATTTGGGGCGATTTCTGCAGATTTGAGTTCGCCCCACCTTCGGTTTCCACTCCTCAGTTGGGATTTTCCATCCCAAATCTCCCCCAGAAAGTGAAAAATAAATGCAAAAAACCCCAAAACGGCGATTTCTGCAGAGAAATCCGTGGTTTCCTGTGGGAATTCCATCCCAGCCCCCAACCCCAACCTCTGCTTTCTCAGGGCCCAGATTTGGGGGGATTTCTGCAGATTTGAGTTGTCTCCACTTTTGTTTTCCTCTCTTCCCATTCCCATCCCAGAGCTGGGATTTCCCGCCCCGAATCTCCCCCAAAAGGTGGAAAGCAAAGGTAAAAGAGCCCCAAAACGGGGAATTCCGTAGAGAAATCCGTGGGTTCCTCTGGGAATTCCATCCCAACACCCAAACCCCAACCTCTGCTTTCCCAAGGCCCGGATTTGGGGGGATTTTTTACAGATTTGACTCCACCTTCCCACTCCCACCCCACAGCCGGGATTTTCCACCCTGAATGTCCCCGGAAAGTGAAAAATGAAGATAAAAAAGGCCCAAAACAGGGAATTCCATAGAGAAATCCGTGGTTTACTGGCAGGAGAGCAGGAGCAGCAGCAGGGGCCGTCCCCGGGGACGTCACATGGCGAAGAGGATGAGGAATGCCACCATCAGACAGAAGAGCCCCATGGCCTCGGACAGCGCGAAGCCCAGGATGGCGTACGAGAAGAGCTGCTGCTTCAGAGAGGGGTTCCTGCAATGGGAACAGAGGAAAAAATGGGAATGGGAATGGGAAAATGGGAATGGGAATGGGGAATGGGGATGGGAATGGGGGAGAAGTGCTGCTGCTTCAGGGACGGGTTCCTGGAATGGGAATGGGAATAGAGTGAGGAAAAATGGGAATGGAAATGGGGAAATGGGAATGGGAATGGGGAATGGGGATGGGAATGGAAAATGGGAGAGAAGAGCTGCTGCTTCAGAGAGGGGTTCCTGCAATGGGAACAGAAAACAGGAATGGGAAAATGGAAATGGGAAATGGGAATGGGAAAATGGGAATGGGAGAGAAGAGCTGCTGCTTCAGAGAGGGGTTCCTGCAATGGGAACAGAGAAAAAATGGGAATGGGAATGGGGAAATGGGAATGGGAATGGGAAAATGGGAATGGGAATGGAAAATGGGAGAGAAGAGCTGCTGCTTCAGAGAGGGGTTCCTGCAATGGGAACAGAAAACAGGAATGGGAAAATGGGAATGGGAAATGGGAGAAATGGGAGAAAAAAAAAAAGGAGAAAAGGGGTTCCTGCAATGGGAACAGAGTGAGAAAAATGGGAATGGGAAAATGGGGAAATGGGAATGGGAATGGGGAGAAGAGCTGCTGCTTCAGAGAGGGGTTCCTGCAATGGGAACAGAGAAAAAATGGGAATGGGAATGGGGAAATGGGAATGGGAATGGGAATGGGAAAATGGGAATGGGGAATGGGGATGGGAATGGGGGAGAAGTGCTGCTGCTTCAGGGACGGGTTCCTGGAATGGGAATGGGAATAGAGTGAGGAAAAATGGGAATGGAAATGGGGAAATGGGAATGGGGAATGGGGAGAAGAGCTGCTGCTTCAGAGAGGGGGTCCTGGAATGGGAATAGAGTGAGAAAAATGGGAAAATGGGGAAATGGGAATGGGAAAATGGGAATGGGAATGGGGATGGGGGAGAAGAGCTGCTGCTTCAGGGACGGGTTCCTGAAAATGGGAACAGAGCGAGGAAAATGGGAAAATGGGAATGGCCCCAAATTCTGGTTTGGGGGGCAGTCCTACCTGGCGTATCCGATGATGAGGCTCCCGAACACGGTGCCCATCCCCTGTCCCCGTCCCCCTGTCTGTCCCCCTGTCCCCCTGTCTGTCCCTGTCCCCCTGTCTGTCCGTGTCTCACCTGGCGTATCCGATGATGAGGCTCCCGAACACGGTGCCCATCCCCTGTCCCCCTGCCTGTCCCTGTCCCTGTCCCCCTGTCTGTCCCTGTCTCTCCCTGTCCCCCTGTCTGTCCCTGTCCCTGTCCCCCTGCCTGTCCCTGTCCCTGTCCCCCTGTCTGTCCCTGTCCCCCTGTCCCCCTGTCTGTCCCTGTCCCCCTGTCTGTCCGTGTCTCACCTGGCGTATCCGATGATGAGGCTCCCGAACACGGTGCCGATCCCCGCCCCCGAGCCCGCCACGCCCACGGTGGCGGCGCCGGCCCCGATGAACTTGGCGGCCGTGTCGATGTCCCGGGACAGCGGCGAGCTGCGGAACTGCCGCCGGGGCTGCGTGGCCAGCGACACCTGTGGGACATGGGGACACATCAGGGACACGGGGACAGGGCAGGGACACAGGGACAGCGCTGAGCTGCGGAACTGCCGCCGGGGCTGCGCGGCCAGCGACACCTGCGGGACACGGGGACACATCAGGGACACACCAGGGACACGGGGACAGCCAGGGACCTGGGGACAGGGACAGCGCTGAGCTGCGGAACTGCCGCACGGCCAGCGACACCTGCGGGACACAGCGGGGACACATCAGGGACACACCAGGGACACGGGGACAGGGCAGGGACACGGGGACAGCCAGGGACACGGGGACAGGGACAGCGGCGAGCTGCGGAACTGCCGCCGGGGCTGCGCGGCCAGCGACACCTGCGGGACACAGCGGGGACACATCAGGGACATGGGGACAGGGCAGGGACAGCCATGGGGACAGCCAGGGACACAGGGACAGCGCTGAGCTGCGGAACTGCCGCACGGCCAGCGACACCTGCGGGACACAGCGGGGACAGCTCAGGGGACAGCCAGGGGGACACATCAGGGACACACCAGGGACACGGGGACAGCTCAGGGGACAGCTCAGGGACAGCGGCGAGCCGCGGAACTGCTGCCAGGGCTGCACGGGGCAGGGCATGGCCAGTGACACCAGGGACACGGGGACAGGGCAGGGGACAGGCAGGGACATGGGGACAGCTTGGGGACATGGGGACAGGGCAGGTACAGGACAGGGACAGCTCAGGGACACGGGGACAGGACAGGGGACAGCTCAGGGCTGGCACTTAGCATGGGAAGGGGGGCGCTAGTCCTGACCAACAGCATGAGGATGGAGGATGAGGATGGGGATGGAAGATGAGGGATGAAGGATCAGGATAAAGATGAAGGAACAGGATGGGGATGAAGGATCAGGGTGGGGATGAAGGATCAGGGTGGGGATGAAGGGTCAGGGTGAGGATGAGGATGAAGGATCAGGATGGGGATGAAGGATCAGGGTGGGGATGAAGGGTCAGGGTGAGGATGAGGATGAGGCCCAAGGCCCGGCTGCCTCACCTGCGCGCTCTCCTCAGGCCGGCTGAACACAGCCATGGACGCGGGCCTGGCCAGAGCCCTGGAGCAGCAGCGGAACTGCAGGGACAGCACAGGGACAGCTGGGGACACCTGGGGACACCAGGACAGCCCAGCCCGGCCTCCCCTAAACGCCATCCCAAACCCTGCAGCCGCTCCCTGCGAGCACAGCTCAGCATTCCCAACCCTCAGGAGACCCTCAGGCGTTTTATGGAGCACTGAAACCCCCCTAAAACACCCCAAATGTACCCAAAATTGGACAATAAGGGGTTATCAATGGAGGTGTTTCATTGAGCACTGAAACCCCCCTAAAACACCCCAAAATTGGCCAATGAGAGGTTATCAATGGAGGAGTTTTATGTAGCACTGAAACCCCCCTAAAACACCCCAAAATTGGACAATAAGGAGTTATCAATCAGTGTTTTTGTTCCAGCACTGAAATCCCCCCTAAAACATCCTAAATATGACCCAAAATTGGACAATATGGGGTTATCAATGGAGGTGTTTTATGGAGCTCTGAAACCACCCTAAAACACCCCAAAATTGGCCAACGAGGGTTTATCAATGCAGGTGTTTTATGGAGCTCTGAAACCCCCCTAAAACACCCCAAAATTGGCCAACGAGGGTTTATCAATGCAGGTGTTTCCGTCCCAGCCCCCCAGGCTGAGCACAGCCAGGTGCCGGCCCCAGAAATCCCAATATTCCCATTTTTCCCCCCGTTTTCTCCCAGGGAATAAAAGGGGTTCCGGAGCCACCCAAGGGAACCCTGGAGCTGCTGCTGCTGCTCCCAGCCCCGGGGCTGAGCTCGGCGCCAGCCGCTCACACGTGTCACCAGAGGTCACCTTGTCCCCTCCCTCCCTGCTCAGAGCCCGGCTGGAACCGCCCGGATCCAGCTCAGACAGGGCAGGAACCCCCAAATCCCAATTCCCAAATCCCCCAATTCCCAAATCCCCAAATTCCCAAATCCCCCAAATTCCCAATTCCCAAATCCCCAAATTCTCAAATCCCAAATCCCCAAATCCCCAATTCCCCAAATTCCCAATTCCCAAATCCCCAGATCCCCAAATTCCCAATTCCCAAATTCCCCAATTCCCCAATTCCCAAATCCCCAATTCCCAAATCCCCCAAATTCTCAAATCCCAAATTCCCAAATCCCCAATTCCCAAATTCCCCAAATTCTCAAATCCCAAATTCCCAAATCCCCAAATCCCCAATTCCCAAATTCCCCAAATTCTCAAATCCCCAATTCCCAAATCCCCAAATCCCCAGTCCCCAAATTCCCAAATCCCCAGATCCCCAGATCCCCAAATTCCCAATTCCCAAATTCCCCAATTCCCCAATTCCCAAATCCCCAATTCCCAAATCCCCCAAATTCTCAAATCCCAAATTCCCAAATCCCCAAATCCCCAATTCCCAAATTCCCCAAATTCTCAAATCCCAAATTCCCAAATCCCCAAATCCCCAATTCCCAAATTCCCCAAATTCTCAAATCCCCAATTCCCAAATCCCCAAATCCCCAGTCCCCAAATTCCCAAATCCCCAGATCCCCAAATTCCCAATTCCCAAATTCCCCAATTCCCCAATTCCCAAATCCCCAATTCCCAAATCCCCCAAATTCTCAAATCCCAAATCCCCAAATCCCCAATTCCCAAATTCCCCAAATTCTCAAATCCCCAAATCCCCAATTCCCAAATTCCCCAAATTCTCAAATCCCAAATTCCCAAATCCCCAAATCCCCAGTCCCCAAATCCCCAATCCCCAATTCCCCAATTCCCAATTCCCCAATTCCCAAATTCTCAAATCCCCAAATTCCCCAAATTCTCAAATCCCCAAATTCTCAAATCCCCAATTCCCAAATTCCCCAAATCCCCAATTCCCAAATCCCCAAATTTCCCAAATCCCAAATTCCCAATTCCCAAATCCCCAAATCCCCCAAATCCCCAAATTCCAAATTCCCACCAGGAATCCCCTGCCAGGGCAGCACCTACCAGCGCCGGGGAGCTGAGGAGAGCCACGGGAGCCTGCATGGTGCTGGATCTGCCACGGAAAAACACAGAAATTATAAATAAAAATAAATATAAAAACCAATGAGATTGCCAATGCTGCCGTGACCGGGCCAGCCCGGCGGGGTCACACACGGCTCCGAGCTGTCCCCAGCACGGGGGCACTGTCCCCAAGGTTGTGTCCCCAGGGCTTTGTCCCACTGACCCCGCTGTGTCCCCGGGGCTTTAACCCCATTGTGTCCCCAAGGTTTTACCCCACTGTGTCCCCAAGGTTTTACCCCATTGTGTCCCCAATGTCCCCAAGGCTTTAACCGCACTGTGTCCCCAAGGTTTTACCCCATTGTGTCCCCAATGTCCCCAAGGCTTTAACCCCACTGTGTCCCCAAGGTTTTACCCCATTGTGTCCCCAATGTCCCCAAGGCTTTAACCCCATTGTGTCCCCAATGTCCCCAAGGCTTTAACCCCACTGTGTCCCCAAGGCTTTAACCCCATTGTGTCCCCAATGTCCCCAAGGCTTTAACCCCACCCTGGCCCCAAGGTTTTACCCCATTGTGTCCCCAATGTTCCCAAGGCTTTAACCCCACTGTGTCCCCAAGGTTTTACCCCATTGTGTCCCCAATGTCCCCAAGGCTTTAACCCCACTGTGTCCCCAAGGTTTTACCCCATTGTGTCCCCAATGTTCCCAAGGCTTTAACCCCACCCTGTCCCCAAGGTTTTGACTCAACGTGCCCCCAAGACTTTGTCCCCACCCTGTCCCCAGCTGTCCCCAAGGTTTTAACCCCCCCCATTGTGTCCCCAATGTCCCCAAGGTTTTAACCTCTCCCATTGTGTCCCCAAGGTTTTAACCCCACCCTGTCCCCAAGGATTTAACCCCACCCTGCCCACACCACGTCCCCAAGGTTCTGTTCTGTGTCCCCAAGACTTTGTCCCCACCGTGTCCCCAAGGTTTTGTCCTCACCGTGTCCCCAAGGTTTTAACCCCTCCGTGTCCCCACCCTGTCCCCAAGGTTCTAACCCCACCCTGTCCGCACCGCGTCCCCGAGGCTTTAACCCCCGTGTCCCCATGGTTTTAACCTCCCCGTCCCCTCCGTGTCCCCGGCTGTCCCCTCCGCCCTCACCCGGCCCCGTGTCCTCCCCGTTAATCCCCGCTCGGTGCCTGTCCCGGTCGGCTCCTCCCGCCCTCCCTCCCACACCGGCGCCCTCACAACCCTCGAGGGCAGCGCAGGCCCCACCGCCCGCCGGGCAGCGAAGGGCACGGCCCCAGCGAGCACCGGCCGGGCCCGCAGCCCTGCCCGGGAGCCCCGGGAGCCGCGGCAGCCCCGGGATGGGCGGGCAGGGCCGGGCCGGGTCCCACCTGCGCGGGGTCCGCTCGGGCCGGCGGCGGCTCTGTGGGCAGCGTCACCTTGGCCGTGTCCCCCCCGGCGTCCTCCGCGCCCATTGGCCGCCGCCGCGCGCGCGCGCCCGCGCCCGCCCTCCCCATTGGCCGAGGGCCGAGGAAACCCCGCCTCCCCGCATCCGGGCATGGCGGGAAAGAGGAGGGTGGGGAGGGGCGGGGATGAGGGTGGTGATTGGTGGGTTGAGGGCGGTGGCGCTCGGTGATTGGGTGAGGCAGCTGTCAATCTGGCGGTGGGCGGGAAGGGGCGGGGCTGTGGCCGTGAGGGAGGGTTTGGGGTGAGGGAGGGTTTGGGATGAGGAGACAGTTTGTGGGGTTAAAGAGTTTTTTTTGTGTTAAAAAGGGTTTGTGGGGTCAGAGAGTGTTTGTGGGATTAAAAAGAGGGGTTTTGGGGTTAAAAAGAGGGTTTGTGGGGTTAAAAAGAGGGTTTGTGGGACCAGGGAGGGTCCTGTGGGATCTGGGAAGGTTTTTGGGATCAGAGAAGGTTCTGTAGGACCAGGAAGGTTTCTGTGGGGTCAGAAACGTCGCATTTCAGCTCGGGATTAAACTCCTTTATTATTATATAATAACTCCTGTATTATTATTATTATTTGTCATTTTTGTTATGATTCCTCCTTTATTTCACCACCTGCTGCTCCCGCCGTGCCCGTGGGAATTCCATGGAAATCCTGGAGTTATGCAGCCCTGGCAGGGAAAAAAACCCCAAAATTCCTAAAAATTCCCCTCAAGGCTTCTCTGGGAATGTGATCCCAAAAAAAACCCCTTAAATTTTGGGGGATTTTTGGGATTTCAGGGACTCACGTGGCCCTGCAGAGCTCGCCCGACAGCAGCCACGTCAGGAATTCCTGCTCCCAAAATTCCCTCAGGCCCTCGGAGCCTTCCAGAGCTGGAAAACTGCAAAAAAAAAAAAAAAATTAAAATTTATATTTAGAAATATTTATTTTTAAAAATATTTTAAAATTTAATTCAGTGAAAACAGAATTAAAGGGGGAAAAAAATCCTGGTTTTGGCATCTCCTTCTCCCAGTCCTACATTCAATTTTAATATTTTCTTGCTGGGATAAAGGACCCCAAAAAGTTGGATTTCGTCTGGAAATGGGGAAATTCTTTGGGTTTTGGGAATGCTGGGGTGGGGTTTTTTTGAGGATTTGGCCTCAAAATCCTTTGGGAACCCCAAAATCGGCTCCTGTCCCACACCCCAAACCCTCATTTCTGGAGGTGTTTTCATGGAAAAGTGTAAAAATAACAAATACCCTCAAATTCCATAAAAATAACAGAAAAAAAATCCCCAAAGTACTGTACAAAACACAACAAATCCTCCCCAGTTCCATTAAAAACCCAAAACCACCCTGAAATTCTGTACAAACCCCAACAAATCCCTGAATTCCATTAAACCAGTCCCAAAACTCCCCCAAATTCCCATTAAAAACCCAACAAATCCCCCGAACTCCATAAAAAACCTCCAAAAAGACCCCAAATTCTGCACAAATCCCCAAATTTCCATTAAAAACCCAACAAATCCCTGAATTCCATTTAAAAAACCCTTCAAAAATAACCCAAGCTCCCATTAAAAACACGACTGCTCCCCCAAATCCCATATAAAGAAACCCCAAAAATACCCTAAATTTCCTTTAAAAACACCAAAAATACCCCAAATTTCCATTTAAAAAACCCAAAAATACCCTAAATTTCCGTTTTAAAAACCCCTCAAAAATAACCCAAGCTTCCATTAAAAACCCAACTGCTCCCCCAAATCCCATATAAAGGAACCCCAAAAATACCCTAAATTTCCTTTAAAAACACCAAAAATACCCTAAATTTCCATTTTAAAAAACCCCAAAAATACCCTAAATTTCCATTTTAAAAACCCAAATTCCCATAAAACCCCAAATCCCCCCAAATCCCGGCCTCACCTCTGCCTGTCCCGGTTTTTCCAGAGCCACCCCAGGAACCCTTTGGCTCCCGGGGTTCCCAAATCCGAATTTTCCCCATTTTCCCCTTTTGGGGTCTCCGCCTCCCTCCTGAGCAGCTCCGCGCCGTCACTGGGACAGGAAAAGTGGGAAAATTGGGAAAATTCCCGAAATGATCCCCAAAAATCCAGCAGAGGGTGCCGGGATCCCGCTGTGGCGGAAATCCCGGAAGGAGGGGTGGGAATGGGGATTTGGGGAAAAAATGGGAAAAATGGGAAAAATGGGAAAATCCCAATGGCAAAGAGGGGAAACCAGCCGGGATGGTGGGAATTGGGAATTGGGGAGGTTGGGGATTCGGGAATTGGGAAATTGGAGATTTGGGAATTTGGGAGGTTGGGAATTTGGGGATTCAGAAGTTTGGGAATTTGGGGACTCTGGAATTGGGGAGTTGGGGATTGGGGAGTTTGGGAATTGGGGATTTGAGAAATCTGGGAAATTGGGAATTGGGGAATTTGGGAAGTGGGGAATTTGGATTTGGAGAATTGGTGGAATAGGGAATTTGGGAATTGGGGGATTGGGGAATTGGGGAGTTGAGGAATTGAGGAATTGAGGAATTAGGGAATCCAGGAATTTGAGAAATTGGGAGGGGATTGGGGATTCAGGATTTGGGGAATGTGGGAATTGGGGAGTTCAGGAATTCGGGAATTGGTGAAATGGGGAACTTGGGATTTGGGTAATGTGGGGATTGGGGAATTCAGGAAATCAGGAATTTGTGGATTTGGGGATTCCAGATTTGGGGAATGTGGGGATTGGGGAATTCAGGAAATCAGGAATTTGTGGATTTGGGGATTCCAGATTTGGGGAATGTGGGGATTGGGGAATTCAGGAAATCAGGAATTTGTGGATTTGGGGATTCCAGATTTGGGAAATGTGGGGATTGGGGAATTCAGGAAATCAGGAATTTGTGGATTTGGGGATCAGGGAATTTGGGGATTCCAGATTTGGGGAATGTGGGGATTGGGGAATTCAGGATTTTGGAGAATGTGGGATTTGGGGAATTCAGGAATTCGGGATTAGGGGAATTCAGGATTTTGGGGGATTTGTGACCAGGAGCTCACTGGCTTTTCTTCTCGCGCCGGGCCAGCAGCCACTCCACGAAGTTCTTGCGCAGCACGTGGTCCATGGTGCGGCTGTAATCGCTGGCCAGGGTGGCCTCGGAGTAACGGCGGGACAGACGGACAGCGGGGACGGACGGGCTGGCACTGGGACAGACGGACAGAGGGGTCAGGGGACAGAGGGGACAGCACTGGGACAGACGGACAGCGGGGACGGACGGGCGGACACACGGACAGAGGGGCCAGGGGACAGAGGGGACACACGGGCTGGGACAGACGGACAGGGGGACAGAGGGGCTGCCACTGGGACACACGGACAGCGGAGTCAGTGGGACAGAGGGACACACGGACAGCGGGGTCAGGGGGACAGAGGGACAGAGGGACAGACGGGCTGATCCCATGGGTTTGGGGTGGATTCCCTGGATTTGGGGCTGATCCAGGGAGCCCGCCCCAAATCCATGGGCTCCGGCCCGAGGGGCGGGGGAGGGCTCCCGGTTCCCTGGGGCCGTTCCCGGTTCCCTGGGGCCGTTCCCGGTTCCCTGGGGCCGTTCCCGGTTCCCCATTCCCGGTTCCCTGGGGCCATTCCCGGTTCCCTGGGGCCATTCCCGGTTCCCTGGGGCCGTTCCCGGTTCCCCGTTCCCGGTTCCCTGGGGCCATTCCCGGTTCCCTGGGGCCATTCCCGGTTCCCTGGGGCCGTTCCCGGTTCCCCGTTCCCGGTTCCCCGTTCCCGGTTCCCCATTCCCGGTTCCCTGGGGCCGTTCCCGGTTCCCTGGGGCCGTTCCCGGTTCCCCGTTCCCGGTTCCCCGTTCCCGGTTCCCCATTCCCGGTTCCCTGGGGCCGTTCCCGGTTCCCCGTTCCCGGTTCCCTGGGGCCGTTCCCGGTTCCCTGGGGCCGTTGCCGGTTCCCGTTGCCGGTTCCCGTTGCCGGTTCCCGTTCCCCGCTCACCCCGCGCTCTCCCCCGCGCACGCCGCCCCCAGCCCGGCCAGCAGCAGCAGCGGCAGCGCCCGCAGCGCCCGCGGGGACATTTTCCTCTTCCCGGCGATTGGGATTCCCTCGGGACCACCGGGACAGCGATCGGGACCTCCGCGACCACCGCGACCTGCGGCACGGGGGAGGCTCGGGATGCGATCCCAACCCGCAGAATTCCCGCCCGTCCCGGCCAAATCCTCCCATCCCGAATCCTCCCATCCCAAATCCCCCATCCCAAATCCCCCATCCCGAATCCCCCATCCCAAATCCCCCATCCCAAATCCCCCATCCCGAATCCCCCATCCTGAATCCTCCCTTCCCAAATCCCCCATCCCAAATCCCCCATCCCAAATCCCCCATCCTGAATCCTCCCTTCCCAAATCCCCCATCCCAAATCCTCCCATCCCAAATCCCCCATCCTGAATCCTCCCTTCCCAAATCCCCCATCCCAAATCCTCCCTTCCCAAATCCTCCCTTCCCAAATCCTCCCTCCCCAAATCCCCCATCCTGAATCCTCCCATCCCAAATCCCCCATCCCAAATCCCCCATCCCAAATCCCCCATCCTGAATCCTCCCATCCCAAATCCCCCATCCCAGATCCTCCCTTCCCAAATCCCCCATCCCAGATCCCCCTCCCCAAATCCCCCATCCCAAATTCCCCCTTTCCCAGCCCATCCTGCTCCGCTCCTGAGCTCCGGAATTCCCGGCGGGAGCGGCCCTGGGATCGCCCAACCCCGCGGCTCCATCCCGGAGCGGGAACGGGAATGGGAACGGGAACGGGAATGGGAATGGGAATAGGAACGGGAATGGGAACGGGAATGGGAATGGGAACGGGAATGGGAATGGGAACGGGAATGGGAACGGGAACGGGAACGGGAATGGGAAAAGGAACAGGGATGGGAACGGGAATGGGAATGGGAACGGGAACGGGAACAGGAACGGGAATGGGAACGGGAACAGGAATGGGAACGGGAATGGGAATGGGAATGGGAACGGGAACGGGAACAGGAATGGGAACGGGAACAGGAATGGGAACGGGAACGGGAACAG